CCCTTGGCTGTTCACATTTCTTATATCCTCGTATTACGCCTTCACTGTTACAATTTCTAATCGTGCCTATTTAGATGTAGCGTAGTGTGCCCTTTTGATCTGCAGTCATGAGAATCCTCCACACTCCACGCTGGCGCTCTTATCCCTCTTTTACCCTTGTGCTGGGAATGTTGATCAGAGTCTGCCATATTGTTGCGTAGTCCTCCTTCCCTAGGTCTTATCAGAGTCTCCCTCTTGCCCCGTATAATCCGTCTGCTATCGCCCTGGTTTAAATATTTTATTCGACCTTTGCCACCCCATTTGTGCTACTCGAGAATTTATTTGCCACATTGCGTCTGAGTGACTAATTCGAAGCTAAAGCCTCTGAGTAAGTCTAATTAGCAAGCTTTTGCTACATGGATCACGTCTCTGGTAAAACCTACTGTCAGCCATCTAGTTCCAGTCTCCCCTGCGTCTATCTTGTTTCTATCCGTAATACCAAGTCTATGACTTGCTATGCTCTAGTCTTTTTTGTGTGCCAAACCACAAATATTGTGGTAATGCTTGCTTTGAGTATATTCAATGCTGAACCACGACGTTTGTGGGTTAGCGCACAAGAGACTATGGCATAGCAAGTCATAGACTTGATATTACATATAGAAAAAGGATAGACGCGGTGGAGACTGGATTTAGTTGGCTGACAGTAGGTTTTACCAGAGACGTCGTACATGCAGTAAAGGCTTGATCACTATACCTACTCAGAGGCTTTAACCTCGAATTAGTCACTCAGACGCAGAGTGTGGGAAGTAACGTCTCGAGTAGCACAGTTGGGGTGGTAGAGGTCGAATGAAATACTTGAACCAGGGCGATAGCAGACGTATTATACGTGGCAAGAGGGAGACTGATAAGACCTAGGGAAGGAGAACTAAGTAACAATATGGCATACTCTGATCAACATTCCAAACACAAAGGTGAAGGGGGAGTGAGAATGCCGCTCAAAACGGCACACCACACTAAATCTAAATAATCACAGTGATACGAGGATATAGAAAATATGAATAGCCCAGGGCAGAAGGAGAGATACCAGCACTTTTTAGCACACGTTTCGTCAAAGGATCGGCTTTACATGTCTCTTTGACGAGTTGTAGTGTGATGCTAAGACTCACTGACGATGCCGACTACGTCTGGGAATGTACCACGTCCACGGTCTGACTTATGAAATAATCATACATACAATGGACTCCGGACTAGGTGGGTTCCTCTAAGTCTTCCTACCAATATAACCAAGTTGCGACAAGCAACCTCTATACAACGAAATGAGACTGCGACCACAGAAAAGGCCACACCATCTTGGTCTTCATATCTTCTATGTACAATAAGGTTAAGTAGCCAACCAAATCATGGGATGTCTCGTTATGATCGCGAAGTTAGTCGTATAAAAAGTGACGACCTTTTTCCTCTTAGTTTAGCATGTTTCGTTAAGTATGGATTCCTGCTCTGATGACGTCTGTCACGGTAAAGACGAAAACTTAGCACAGTTTAATCTGGGTCGCAGGACGATGAGACGCAGACTTCTTTGCACAATTAAACATTCTTCCATACGCGGCAATCCTCCGGTTTCCGCTGAGACCACATTATTAATTCCTTTCGAAATGGAAGGTCATGTCACAATATATCTCTAAGAAATTCTTCGAAACCCAGTTTTTCGTCATACAGTTAATATTTGTTCGAAGTGTGTACATTATTATTTTTCGTTTTAGAAGCTTTTTTTCGAGCCTTTCAGTATATCATATATATGGGATATATTCACTATTTAATTTGGAGTGATAAGAGGACTAGTTGTTGAATTTCCCCACGATAATATGGGTAGAATTGAATTTCATAGCCTTGTTTCCCTCAAGGTGGAGTGCAGTTTCGATCTTACATCAACTGCTATCAGCGGGATCCATACCGTGAAACACCATCATATAATCTTGACATTTTAACTACTACGCCACATTGTCACGAGTTCTCTTGGGTCACAGAGCAGATATGGATTCCAAAGAAGCCCTGGCATTTTCTCATAAAATCCTGTGCTGGGATTATTGATCAAGCAAAGTTGTATTTACTAGAGCAATTAATTACTTTACTTACTTTTCTTTGGCTTGATCGACACTCTCACCACAGAATGTGATATGGGAAAATGTCTGCCCTGTTGCCCAAGGGTATTTGTATCTGGTTAACATGTTTATATAACATGCTGCATTTTCATGCTTCAAGTCTTGCCGGGGCTCTGATGAAATTTAGGTCGAAACTGCAATCCGCTCTGGATAAGGATACCCTTTGGGAGGCAGTGCTATGCGAAACTCAGTTAAAAAGAAAGACCTCATCGTTATTGGAAAATTTAACTCACAATCCCAATATCATCTTAAACGTAATAGATTGAATACATCTAGTATCCATATCTTATTGTTTGTCCATTTTGTATTAGCTATTACTGCGTAATTACAAACCGTTCTCATCAATTTCACATTTAGGCACAGATCCTTTAAGGACGGAGTATCGCAATATTGTTAGTTCTTCAATCCCTTTATTCTCACCCCAATTGAGTTCCTCATATGCTCATCTCTATTATCACTTTAATTATCTATATTTAATTTTAACTTATATACTCATTTTCAAGCTAATTATCACAGTGCGCACGCGCCCTGAATTCCTGAAGACTTTGCGCCTCCTTGTTTTCGATCATGCACGCCCTCACTCGCCCATATTTGTGCACAAATTCGCCAACCAGGGCCTCTTTATGCTCTCAGGGGTCCAGTTGACTGCCATGTCTGGGTAAGAATAGGATTGTCTACCTTTTTAAATTTGCTTTTTCGAATTTATTAAAAGAATGTCCTTAATTTTTGAATGCATAAAAATTAAGGTAAAATACCCTCAGGAGTAATTGAAAAATTATCTATCGGATTAATTGTCAATTGTTGCATTTTGCTTCCTTCATCTATTCCGCTAATTATAGATTAAGCTTGAATGACTAGATTTCTTGGTAGTACCTTCATTTTCCTAGTACCTAAACCCTCATTTTTAAATTCGTAACATAATCCTTTGTTAATTTCAGGTCTGACCATGTTTTCCGTCTGGAGACATCCCTCAAAGAGTCCCACTTCTTGAACATAACCAGCCAGACAGTTATTATTCGACCTGAGATGGATGTAAGCCATTCTCACCGTTTTGAATTCTCTCCTTCTCCTCGTCCTACATTCGGAAATATCATGAGCTACTAATTTTATTCCTAATTCCTTAACTGCTTCACTCAAGTCTTTGCACATACGACTATTTATTCCCAAAATTTGTATTCCCATCTGAATAACTTGATAATTACATTTTGTACATTAATTCTGGAACTTTTTAAAGAGCAAAATCCATGCATACTTAACCCATTCGGATACGTTGCATCTCACTAGCATGTAGCTATACTAATGAGTCTGAATTAAAGTTAGATCTCTCTGTATTCACATCAGGACCAAATCTCTTGTCAGTAACAATTTCTCTCGGATGAACAGTCACGCTTTTCCTTAACACTACATCGCTACTACCTAAAACGCTCGTCCTTCGCATCAAAGAACTATACCCGCGACAGTGCAGGATGAGAGCTTGACACGCTAATTACTCGGCCACAATACCACGAGTGCCTTTGGGTCACGGGGCAGATGTGAATTACAAGGAGGGCTTTGACTTTTCCTATACACATTCTTTGGTGGGATTGTCAATGAAGCAAACGTGTTTTTGCTATACCAATCGACATTACATCTTATATAACTGATTTAATGGTAGTCTCGAAACTCTGCTTATATACGAAAAATAAATAATTTAGTCGATTGTTATAGCAAAAATAAGTTGGCTTCATCAACAATCCCACAATAGAATGTGATGTGGTAAAAGGCATAACCTTTAATGAAATTCATATCTGCCATGTGACCCAAGGGCACTCGTGGCAATGTGGCAGAGTAGTTAACACTTCAAGCTCACATTCTGCACTGTCACGGTTCGACTCCCGCTAGGAGTGTTGATAAGATCTATGAGGTCGAAACTGCAGTCCACTTCAGCCCGGATGAAATAACCTTTTAGGAATTCAAGGCTCTATAAAATTTAGCTCTATTCATATCATTATGGGAAATTTCTACTAGCAGTCCTTAATCATGTTAAACGAAATAGGTTGAATACATCTCATATAACTGATTTACTGGTAGTCTCGAAACTCTGCTTATATTCGAAAAATATAAGCCT